AGTGAGTGACGCGCCATAGTGAGTGATGCGCTATATATGACGCGCTATAGTGAGTAACGCGTTATAGTGAGCAACACGCTATAGTGAGTGACGCGTTATAGTGAGTAATGCGCTATAGTGAGTGACGCTTTATAGTGAGTAACATGTTACAGTGAGTAACGCGTTATAGTGAGTAACGTGCGCAGTAAGTGACGCATTATAGTGAGTGACGCATTTAGTGAGTGACGCACCAGTGGTCATGCTATCAGAATCATGCTGTTACCTGCTTTAATGGGCCAAGAGCGGCCCATTGTTGAGGTGACGTCACGCTAGGTAGAAGGGGAAGGGGGGGAGATAGAGGAGGAGCAAAGATGCGATAGAGGAGGGAGGAGAGGCAGAGAGAAGGAAGTGAAGTCATGTTATGTGTAAGGAAGAGAGGAAGGAGGGTGAAGGGAGGTTGATAAGCCATTTTTAGTGGTGTGAGGAGGAAGGTGAGATGGAGGAGGGAAGGAGAGATGGAGGGAGGAAGGAGAGAGGGGAAGAAGAGATGGAGGGAAGGAAGGAGGGAGGAGGAAGAGATGGAGGAGGGAAGGAGGGAGGAGGAAGAGACAGGAGGATGGAAGGAGGGGAGGAAGATGGAGGACAAGGAGGGAAGGGGAGATGAAGGATGGAAGGAGGGAGGAGAAAATGGTAGAGGAAATAAGGGGTCATGTTTGTGGTCTGTGTGTGTGTGTGTGTGTGTGCAAGAGAGAGAGAGAGAGAGAGAGAGAGAGAGAGAGAGAGAGAGAGAGAGAGATTTATGCTTTCGAATACCAGGTCAAATGAAACTCGTATCATTTTTTATGTAAAACAAAATTCGAAAAAATATTAATCAAGTTGCAGCCTGACGAGCACGAAGAGGTATATAGTTTTTAAAAACAAATTAAAGGATTGTTACCTGACCAGATCGTGCGTGACTGATAGACATAGATAGATAGATAGACACACACACACGCACACGCACACACACGCACACACGCACACGCACACACTGACCCACATCACACCCAACTCGGTCACCCAAACACCTGTCAGGACCCAACACAGGTGCACCTCAAACACACCCAACGACTTGACCCCATCGGAGCAGCCCTGATACCTAACAACCAAGAAAGATATCGCCTCTACGTCACTCATACATAAGGTTGATTCTTCTATTTAAGTCCAAAAGTCTACTCATAAGGATGATTCCCTCGTGTACCTATAGTAAGGAGGAATTAACACCCTTTATGTACCCATGCATAAGGTCTAATCTTCAGTCTAGGTGAGCGGATATCCCATAAACAAACTTACGGGGGATTCACGCCTCTATTGTCCCTCTTCATTAAAATGATTGTCCGGTACAGGTGGCTGAGTCTTCCCTGCAAGTCATCAGCTGGGAGGTTTAAGAAGCCAGGGTTTACACAGGAAGATTCGCTTTTTCAAGAGTCACAATGATATCTAGATTACGTGTGGTGGTGGTGGTGGTGGTTGTGATGATGGTGGTGGTGGTAGTGGTGGTGGTGGTGGTGAAATGGTGGTGGTGGTTGTGGCAAGTGGAACTGGTGGTGGTGGTGGTGTGGTGGTGGTGTGGTAGTGGTGGTGGTGGTGGTAGTGGTGTGTGGTGGTGGTGTGAGTGAGTGGTGGTGGTGGTGGTGGTGGTGGTGGTGGTGAGTGGTGGTGAAAGTGGTGGTGGTGGTGAAGTGGTGGTGGTGGTGGTGGTTGTGATGATGGTGGTGGTGGTGGTGGCGGTAGTGGTGGTGGTGGTAGTGGTAGTGGTGGTGGTGGTGGTGGCGAGAGTTGTTAAAAATGGCGTAAAGTTGTAATTAGTTGTAGAGTTTTAACCACATATTAGTTTAGTATATATCTTATCCTTTGTGTGTGTGTGTGTGTGTGTGTGTGTGTGTGTGTGCTAGTGAGTTACTCCACCCTGGGTAGGTGTTGGTGATGGTCCACCCAAGAGTTGTTCCACCATCACCAGACGCACCCTAGTGTGTATACATTTAGGGTGAGTATACAAAACCTAGTGCACATAGTGTATATAAATATGTGTATGTCTAAATTATTTTCTTTATATAATGGTGTTTATTTTAGCTTGTGTGTATTTTAGTGACTATATTACAGGGAGAGCTGAGTCAAATGTCAGTGTCAGCTCTCTGCCTCTTGACACACACACACACGGTGAGGTGATGTTATGCAGGGAACCAAACTGGGAGCTCCACGGTGTAGGGGTGTGTGTGTCAGGCGGACCTACTGTAGGATGGAATGTTAAGAGGAAAGGCTGGTTAGTGTATAGCTGCTCTGATGTTTGGAGGGTACTGGTGTTAGAGAGACAGAGTGAGATGTTAATATACTAGTGTTTATATTTATGTTGTATATATAAAGGTTGTAATTGTTTTTTTTAAATAGTGTGAAAATGTTTATTATACTGTATTGTTATGATTATTTGGGGATCCTGTAGTGTGTGTGTGTGTGTGTGTGTGTAAGTGCACATATCTACATTACACTCATCAGTACCCCGTTAAGTTATCTCTTAGTCTCAGTTTACCTATGATAATGTTAACCTTCTCGGGGAATAATCGTGTTGGTCCTCCGGTGCTCAAGACCGTCTCTAAGGACACGAGGAGAAATCTACGTGTGTGATTATGTATTTTAAGTACATAAACACACACGTGAAACTTAAGTATAAGTGGGTGGGGGTGGAAGGCTATTCTCCATTGAAATTTATGATTGGTGTTTTTGATGATGGTGGAGGTGAACGTTGGTTATAGTGTGTCTGTGGTCTGTATGCTCGTCTCGCAAGCAAGTGGACCCGGGTTCGATCCCCGGGCAGGGTGAAACTATGGGTAAGTTTCTTTACGCCATTTGCCTCTGTCTACCCAGAAGTAATTGTGAACCTGGTTGTTAATCGATTTGCGGATCGTATTCCTGGGTAATGGTTAACCAGTGCAGTTGATGAGTTGTCCGGTCTTCTCGGACTATTCCATCACACTCTGTCATCCAACTCGTTAACTTAGGGTGTGGTTGTTGAGTTGGCGACAGCTTCTACACCTGAAACAAATTCACGCCTAGGTGGCCCTTGGGCCGGCCATCCTCGTTACACGAGGGGCAACTATTATTATTATTATTATTTAAGTGTGTGTTTGTGTGTGTGTGTGTGTGTGTGTGAAAGAGAGAGAGAGAGAGAGAGAGAGAGAGAGAGAGAGAGAGAATAAGACAAGGACTCAAAGAACTTACAGTAAAATGATCCTCTTGAGAAAAATGGATACGACTGTTGATTCTTCCCTTGGTTAAACTTCTCATACCGTAAAGTTCCATTCTGTTGTTTACACCACAGAGAATACGACCCTGATGACGATGCCTGAAGAGAGTGATTTATCTTCTCTCTTGTGTGGTTGTGATGTTATGACTCTGTCAATGTTGTAGACTCTGTTAGTATCGTATCCATCTATTGCCTTCAGTTCAGATAGTATTCAACAACTCTACATGCTTAAAGACTGGTTAATAGAACGTAATAGAGAACTGACTGACTGACTGACTGACCAATTGACTGACTGTATGAGTAGTAGTATGCTGACAAGTGGTATGGAAGTTAAAGTGTTTAAGTGGAATTTCCCTGTCCTTCCGTGACACACACACACACACTCTCTCTCTCTCTCTCTCTCTCTCTCTCTCTCTCGTATTTCATATTGATCATTGAGCATAAAGAGGAAAGTGAAGAAGAAGAAAATGATGATGAGTAACAACAAAACAACAACAATATTAACAACAACAACAACATTAACAACAACAACAACAACAACGAAAAAGAAATGAAAAAAGAATGAAAAAATAAATAAAAAAGAAACAAGAAAGTAAACAAGAAGAAGAAAATACGGAGACAAAGAAAAGATGAAGAATAAGATTAAAAAGAAGAGGAAGAAGAAACTACAATGCGAAGTAAAGAAGAAGAACAAGAAAAACAAAAGCAGAAGAACAAAACATGAACAACAACAAAAACAAAAAATAGAACAAGAACAAGAAGAACAGGAAGAACAAGAAGTGGCAGGCTTATAGCACTAATGAGGCCTCGTGTTAAAAGAACATTCCTACACTAAAACAACGTTAACACGGAGGCGGGAATGACAATGACTTTCTACAGCCTAACGTCCGACCTCTTTGCTGTGTGGGTGAGACGCGGAGGGGAAAGAGAGAGAGAGAGAGAGGGAGAGAGAGAGAGAGAGAGAGAGAGAGACTGGAAACAGGGCAGGAAGAGAGGAAGAGAGAGAGAGAGAGAGAGAATAAGAACTAAAAGGAAAGAGAAAGGAGGAAAAATCAAAAAAATAAATAAAATGTAGTTAAAGAAGAGGTAGAGAAATAGAAGATAGAGGTGGAATGTAAAGAGAACAACACAAAAGAGATAAAAGATAAGAGAAGACAGGAAGAGGAGAAGTTAAGGTAAAAGAGGAAGATGAGGAATTAAGAGAAAAAACTGAAAAGGGGGAACAGGAAGAGGACAAGAAAGAGAGGAAGGGAAAAATAAATGAAAGGATGAATAAGAGAAGATGACAACAGAGAAAGAGAAGAAGAAGGAGATAAAAGGGATGGAATAGAAGAAAAAAACGAGGAAAGGGATAAAGAAATGGGAGGAAGGAAAGAAGAGTAAAAAGAGGAGCCAAGGAGAGTAAGAGAATAAGGAAAAAAGGAGGAGATAAATAGCTGCCAGAGGAACGAGAAGAAGAGGAGTAAAAGAGAGGATAAGAAGACACAGACCAAGAGAAAAGAAGAGAGAGAGGAGAAAAGAAGTTCGTTCACTAGAAAACAACTCTCAAAATTATGAAAGTTTTTTTGGTCAAGAAGAAAAGGAAAAGCAAGAGGAGGAGGAGGAGGAGGAGGAGGGGCAGGTGCAGGAGGAGGAGGAGGAGGTGCAGGATGATGATGAGGAGGAGGAGGGGGCGGTGTTGCTGCGTCACAATTTCTCTTGGTGAGGTGTGGGAGGACTTGAGCATTAGTGAGTGCCGGTGACGACTCCCAACAGGACGTGAGGAGTAGAGCTGCCAAGACCACACACACATACTCCTATAGGACCTCAGTATACGACGGTCCTCAGCCTATCAAAGAATCCCCTCCTGTGCCCTTTGTTTCTACGTGCGGGAGGATTCTTTAAGATTCTCACAGGATTCTAGTGTGATAATATCCTTCGATCAGGCAGGACTGTAAATGGTGTGTATCAGGATTTCAAGTGAAGGATCGTGGTGAGAATAGGACTTGACAGGTTGGGGGTCTTTTGATCAGGAGAACAGAGTGACGTATCGTAGGAGTTCTTGCCGTGTTATTGGGGCGTTTGAGACCGGAGGAGATGGTACAGTAGAGTGTGGACGTGTGTTGGAAATTCTACTTAGTGAAATATAAGAACAAAAGAAGAACAATTATAGAGGGGAAAAAAAAAGGTTATCAAGTGACCTTATCAATCTAAGTTGAAGAGGTTTTGTGTGTAGACATTTAACAGTCGTCGAACAAGAAAAAATCGAAAACAAAGGACAGTACATTTCTTGGGTTCGCGTTATCATTTGAAACAGTATTAGATTATTGAACTTCATAGGTAAAAGAACAGTATACATTCCAGCCAACGTTCAGAGCAGTGACAAACGTTCCAGCTGAATGAAAAAGACAAAAGAAGAATATTCAACTCAAGAGCTAAACCAACAGTAAATATTCCACCTCAGAGGACATAGAACAACAGACTTTACAGCTGAGCGACTGAAATAATCCTAGTAAAGTTGGCCTCACTTGCGTAATGGTGAGGGACCTAAGGGTGAGCCAGGCGGAACCCCTTCATTACCCCGTGTGAGTGATGATCGACGCAAACACGGCGCTTCACTCCCACACCGTCCGTCCAGGCGGCAACACGAGCGAATTTCCTGTTCCTCGCGAGTCACTTACGCCACGGAAGTGTGAATAGATCAAGAGTTTTAGAAAAGAAGAAACATTAAGAGGTGTAGAAAAATATAGCAACATTTCATTAGATCAAGAATGTATTTGTTTGGATAATTTTAGAGAGAATTTAAATCGAATTTCAAAGGTTTCATGATATAGGTCATAGATATATCAAAACGGGACATACGGACACTAACAGACGCTACAGTGAACACGGAAAATAGAATTAAGAAGTGTGAATAAATAAAAAGGTAATCTTCTTAAGGTGACAGAAAAAGCGAGAGCGGTGAGAGGGTGTGTCGTCAACTGCTCTCGATTCATCTACTGTATTCGACACCGTAATCTGGTGAGCGAATGTAGAACATCGACGGGTGATGGTTGACTGACTACATTGTTGGTGACTCTCGTGGATTCCAATCCCTCCTGTGTAATAAAAGAATCCTTATACTTGGAGTCCAGAACGGGCTTCACTGAGACTCGAAGGATTCTAAATCTCTAAAAGTTTGTGCACAAGACTTTGAGGAGCCTGAAGTTCGTAATAATTGTGCCCAAAAGTTTGTAACGGTTCTACAAGACTCAAAACAACCTCAAAATCGTAAGAACTTTGGAATATTTAAGTTAACAAAGTTGACCAGATGTTGTCGAGGGTGTGGGTGACGTGTGCGGTTGTGGTGGTGTTCACCTGCCTGTGTGCACGCACGCAATCGGCAGCTGTTCCGCCTAAAACACTGGCGAAGAAGGATGTCCTGCTGACCCAGTTACTCAGGGCTCTCGAGCTGTATAACGGGAAGGGCGTCGCCAGGGCAGCCAAGAACCTCCTGAGTGGTGCGGAAGGATACTCGGACAAGGAGACAATGAAGCTGGAGCCTGGGATCCTGCCGGAGGAGAAGGATATAAAGGACATGGCGGTGCTCGTCTATATCTCGTCACCAAAACACTTCGGGAAGGAGCCCTCGAAACCTCAGGTCAGGATTGATTACGTTCCTAAGGAGCTGGTGTTCGGGGACACGAAGAACTCGACCGGAAAATACACCCCTGTGCAATACTTCGCCGTCAAGAAAACGAAGCCGGAGAATGAAAAGATAGGAGGCGGAAGAGAAGGAGAATATTCAGGTCAACATTTCCACCCAATGGGAGAAGAAAAAACATCTTTCTCCTTGACTGGGCAGACCGTAAGAGATTCAATTTTTGAGGCTTCACACCGGAACAAACAACCCGTCTCCCCAACACGCAAGAAGGAAACCCTCCTGGGGCGCCTGAAACGATCACTCTGGGACTCATACTATCAATCAGACGACTACCAGGATGACCAACCACCACAAGAAACGGCTGTGCAACCCAGAGACGTCGCTCCTCACCAAATATACTACAGGGCGTTTGACTTGGGCCGGTGGGAGGGGGAGGAGGAGGCAGCGGAAAGGGAGGGAGCCACTTCACGACAATTCGGTTTCCTCGGCAATCCTGGAGGCTTGGCGGCACAGTTCCAGCTCGCCCTCGAGAACCCAGGAGTGGTGATTGCTCTTCTAGTCCTCAACGTAAGTATAAGTCCTTCTCTGAAACATGACCTCATCAGACCTTCTTAATGTAATGATATATAAGTCTTGGTTATTATCCTTCCTTCATATTTCCAGTTATCGTTAAGTTGTTTTGTCTTTATTATAACCCGGAATTATAGAAGAGCAACTAAGTCGTTTTGATGGAAATGGTTACATTGATGATAATTATAATAATAATAGTAATAATATAATAGTCATGACTGCTGGCATTAAAATTTAAATTATCGTCACTAATTTTATTATTATTATTATTATCATCGTTAATATAATTCATAAAATATAATTATCACAATCATCTCATAATGAATCTTATATATATGAAGAGAAGAGGATGAAGAAAGAGGAGGAAGTATAACACGTGTCTTTATATGTTAAAAAATTGAAAAACTGGAAAAAAATTTATTTATCTAATTTTTTGTGAACGAGGAATAAGATGGAAGAGAAAATATTAGCTTTAAAAGAAGAAGAAGAAAAACAGCAAGAAAAAGAACAAAAACAAGGAGAACAAGAACAAGAAAAATAAGAACAAGAAGAACAAGAAGAAGATGAAGTACAAGATCAAGAAGAACAAGAACAAGAAGAACAGGAACAAAAAGATGAAGAACAGCAAGAACAAGCAGAAGAAGAAGAAGAACAACAACAACAATATCAGTATAATTACCTCAAGTTACCTGCCAGGCCAAAAAAAAATCATTTTCAGGAATAAATCACCGTAATTGCTCACTCATTACGACTTAATTACCCCCCATGGCAGGTAATGACAGGTGATTAGTGTCGCCATGGTACTGGGTGTGGCATTTCACAAAACACTACGTACAGTTATAAACTTCACTTGGTATGTATCAGAGAAACAGATTCCCAGAAATACTTAAGTGAAATTCTTCTTAACCAGCAACGTGAGGAAGTATTTAGCTGTGTCACTTACGATAAAATACAGTAAAACTAATAATTTCTCTTAAATGTTCAAATTAACTTACAATGTGATAACTTATTGTGGCTCTCTGATGATACAGGTATGTTAAATCTCTCCTTTTGTTGAGTTACAGGAATTTACTTACTCAACTGTAATCTATCAAGTTAAAATATCATTCTGTATTCTTAAACCTCCACTGTAACCGACCTCTTTTGTTACAGGAAATTATGAATCCATTCTAACCCATCTTATTATGTATTCTCCGCTGTAACCAACCTCACTTCCCGTACCTGTCACCTGTAATACCTGAATTCTTCCTGTATTTATTAACGACCATTCTTCTTCTTCCTCCCGCTGTACCACCCCTCGTGCCTGCTACGTGTCCGTTACAGGAAATGATTGTGGTTTTGTACCTCTGAATTACAAAATAAAATGATGTGGTGTGTGGTGACTGTGGTATGTGGTGTGTGATGACTGTGGTGTGTGGTGACTGTGGTGATTGTGATGACTGTGGTGTGTGGTGACTGTGGTGTGTGGTGACTGTGGTGATTGTGGTGACTGTGGTATGTGGTCTTTTTTTATTGTTTACGTTTATTTTTAAATTTGTATGTGTGTATGTGTTTTAGAGAGACAGACAGACAGACAGACAGACAGACAGAAATAACTTTTAGTATACTTATAATTTTTCTCATTAATAAACACATCGTAATTTTAAACTTAAGGTTAAAAAAAAACACGAAGAAAAACCTGTTAATTGTATGTCATTTTGGTTTTATCAGCAGTAACAAACGGGGAAAAAACAGCTCTATAACCATAATAAATTCTCACTTTTTAACCACGTTCTGTTCACGTTCTGCTCACGTTCTGACCCTAACTGTTAAGAGATGAACAGGTATTAAGCGATGTGTAGCTGTTACATGAATTGGTTTGTGAAGAACTTACGTGTTGGGGAAAAAAAAAGATTTAAATTTTCCATGATTATTGTGTTTTTCTAAACTTGGATGTTCTAAATTTAAAATGTTCTTGTTCGGAATATAGATGTTCTGAAAAGTTCTCGTTCGGAATGTAGGTGTTCTAAAAAGTTCTCGTTCGGAATGTAGATGTTCTGAAAAGTTCTCGTTCGGAATATAGATGTTCTGAAAAGTTCTCGTTCGGTTTCCAGATATTCGAAAAAGTTCCCTCTCGTCAAGTAGACATTCTAAAGAAAAAAATTATTTAAAACACCAGCCTTCAATTGTTTTTACCCCAAGTCATAAAATCTAAAAAAAAAAAAAAACTAATTTGAAACATAACCTCATTCATAAGATAATTCCACGCATATCCTCAATCACTACCGCAAAGACCCTCATCTACAGCTAACTTCCTTCTCACCACCTTGCCAGCCACTTAACGCTCTCTCTAAACTAGATGGAAGGTGATCACCCACGCCCCACCTCCGTCACGACTCACTCCCGCCCTCACGAGACGCAAACGAATTACCAAGGTGTTATTTATGAAGTCATGCCGTGGGAATAAGTAATTTCTTGCTTCAGATGCGAGAGAGAATGAGACAGACAGGCAGGCAGACAGACAGACAGGCAGACAGATAGAGAACAGAGATGGGAAGGAAGGGGAAGAATTGATAAACAAATAAATAAATAAATAAATAAATAAATAAATAATTAAGTAAATTCCTGGGCAAACAGACAGATAGATTCACACAGTTATAGACAGGCAGGTAGATAGACAGAGGGATTGATTGAGTCACAGACAGATAATAGACAGATGGATGAGATACTTAATGATGTTATTGAAACGCCTTAAGCACAGTTCACACACACACACACACACCAATGTAGGTCACAAAACCACTGTACTCATTAGCTTATGGAAGTACACCCTGAGAACGCACCCTAAAGTACAACTTGAGTACACCTTAAGTACATCCTAAACACACCCTGAGTACATTCTAAACACATCCTTTGTATACACCTTTAGTTCCTCTTGAGTACGTCCTGAGCATAACCCTGAGTACGACCCCTTTGTACACCGTGAGAACAGATCCTAGAGTACAAATCATGGGGAGGTGGAGAGTACATAAGCAGCCAGATGTTAATGACAGTGTTTACATCGCTTATGATCCGAAAAGAGAAGAGCAGATGTTTACATTATAAGGAATGACTATCTCTGTGTGTTTAGTTTGTCATATGAATGTTTATCTATATGTTTAAAGTTAATCAAGAGAGAGAGAGAGAGAGAGAGAGAGAGAGAGAGAGACAGGCAAACTGGCTCACCTCTGTACGACGACAGGTAGGATTACCTTTAATTACCAAGTGTCATCTTTCATACATCAGGTGTTGTGGGACGTAAACTCTTCACCCTTCCTCCTACACCTTCCACTTGCCCTCAAAAAATACCTACAAACGTCTAAATCAGATCTATAATATCAAATCTATCTAAATCAAATTGTAATTCTATATATATTATACAATTTATAGGTTTTATGTAATTAATTATATAAGTAACAGACTATAATAATTCTTCTAAAACCAGGCAATATTACTCACTCTCAAAACGTCAAAATTATACGTGATTTTAGTCTATTTTTTTATCGCGTTATGTCCACAGTTATTCTCGGAAGGGTCTCTCTCTCTCTCTCTCTCTCTCTCTCCCCACCACCCACCCTCCCCACCCTGAAACCCACCCCACTAGCTAAGTTACCCCCCAGTACCCACTCACCTTACGAACCCACTCATCACCTTCAGTCAGTGTCTGGGTGTGCCAGGGTGGAAGAGTCACACACAACAGGGTGACGCACGCCATCTGTTGACAAAAACCGCCATTACCAGAAAGTCCATCCACTTAGCCTTTAATTTCTACTTACCTAAGACTCTACTGAACCTAATACATACAAATTTCCTGGGAACTATTTACGTATTCATGTAAAAACAAAAGAAACCTAACCTAACCTAACCTAACCAAACCTAACTTAACTTAACCTGACCAAATAATCACGTAAATCATGTTGTTCTGATGCTTATATTCTTAGAGGGGCGCGGGGAGGAAGGGAGGGTGGGTGAGGGGAAAGGGGTGGTGAAGGGAGGGAGAGTGGGAGGAGGAAAGGGATGAAAGAAAGAAAAAAGAAAAGAAATGCCCAAGAAATCACTCCTAACCTAACCTAACCTAACTTAACCTACCCCCCTCCTCCACCCCTCCAATGGTAACTGTTCTATACTGTAGTCTACTTAATCAACTCAGGGTCAGGTCATTGCTCATGGGCAAGTCGTCACTCATAGGCAAAATCGTCACTCATGGCCAAGTCTTCACTCATGGCCGAAGTCATCGCTAATGGCAAAGTCAGCACTGCCATCACCATCACCACTATCACTGCTACCACCATCACCACTATCACCATCACCACTATTACTATTACTACCATCACCACTATCACTACTACCACCATCATCACTACCACCATCACCACTATCACCACTACCACCATCACCACTATCACCACCATCACTACCACCATCACCATCATCACTATCACCACTACCACCATCACCACTATCACCACCATCACTACCACCATCACCACCTCTCTCACCACTACTGTTATCTACCCAGGGGTGGTTCCTGTGGGCAGCCTTGTCAGGGTTCCTCTTCAACCCTCTGGGGCTCCTCAACCCTGGAGGCGGCGGTGGTGGAGGCTCTTCGTCATCATCTTCATCCTCGTCGTCATCATCTTCGTCGTCGTCGGGAGCCCAAGTTGTCGCAGCTGCGGCGGATATTGGCAATTTTGATGAACTAGACTTAGATTTTGGGGAAGATGGAGGTAAGTAAGGCATTAATTATGTGTGTTTGCTTGTTTGTCTGTTTCTGTTTTATTTTCTGCTGAATGTATCTCTCTCTCTCTCTCTCTCTCTCTCTCTCTCTCTCTCTCTCTCTCTTGTCCGTTTCTTATCACAAGGCCAAGAGAAGGAATGAAGAATAGACAGCTAAATATAAAGTAAGGGGATGGTTAACAAAAACAACAAATTACAGAATGATATTTAAACAGATAAAGAGACAGAGAGAGGGGAAGCTATCTATTTTACCTATGTTGTCAGGTCCAACAGCGGGCGACACTGAAGACGATGGACAATCCGCCCCTGACCCACCAACACCAATCTTCGTCTCTGGGGACATTGGCACCTTTGCAGAATACGACTTTGGTGACACAGACGAAACCACCACCCAGTCAACGTCTGGAGGAGGCGAGGAAGGCACCACCCAGTTATCTACAGACGGTGGTGACGGTGTGACTCAGACATCTTCAGGAGGCGAGGAAGTCACCACCCAATCGTCTACAGACGGTGGTGACGGTGTGACTCAGCCATCTTCAGAAGGCGAGGAAGTCACCACCCAATCGTCTACAGACGGTGGTGACGGTGTGACTCAGCCATCTTCAGGAGGCGAGGAAGTCACCACCCAATCGTCTACAGACGGTGGTGACGGTGTGACTCAGCCATCTTCAGGAGGCGAGGAAGTCACCACCCAATCGTCTACAGACGGTGGTGACGGTGTGACTCAGCCATCTTCAGAAGGCGAGGAAGTCACCACCCAATCGTCTACAGACGGTGGTGACGGTGTGACTCAGCCATCTTCAGGAGGCGAGGAAGTCACCACCCAGTCATCTACAGACGGTGGTGACGGTGTGACTCAGCCATCTTCAGGAGGCGAGGAAGTCACCACCCAATCGTCTACAGACGGTGGTGACGGTGTGACTCAGATATCTTCAGAAGGCGAGGAAGTCACCACCCAGTCATCTACAGACGGTGGTGACGGTGTGACTCAGACATCTTCAGAAGGCGAGGAAGTCACCACCCAGTCATCTACAGACGGTGGTGACGGTGTGACTCAGATATCTTCAGGAGGCGAGGAAGTCACCACCCAATCGTCTACAGACGGTGATGACAGCACTACCGAAGCACCGTCAACAACAGGAGACCAAACGACCGACGCACAACCAACAACAGAAACTACCACAGACAGCGGCGATGGAGGCGAGGAAAGTACGACGGAGGAGAGCGCGACCACCCAAGAGACGACAGAGCCCTCAACGATAGACACAGCTGATCAAGGCGGTGTGGTCACCCCCATCTTCGCCTCTGGCCTGCCGTCCTTCGCCTCAGCCAGGCCCTCGTCCACCGTCGGTCTCATAGACGACAGTGATGGCGTGGTGGCGGTGGATGGTGCTGTGTGGGACCTCCTGGCTGACCTATCCACCTCTTTCCGACCGGAGTGAGTAGCACCAAGTGTGTGTGTGTGTATGTGTATAAAGGTAAACAAAACGTGTGTCTCTATCGGGTTTATTCTGCATGTCAACTAACCATCCCTGCATGATACGCCAAGTCTTTGCACGTACAAACACATTTGCACACACGTACGCTCATACACACAAAAGCATGTACACATGACTCACGCATGTATACACTCATATATGTGCACATAAACACACACGTCCACACATAGTATATGCCTAAAAGCACACACATACACAAGCACATACACACACACACATACGAAAACTGATGTGCACATAAGTACACTCGTATCTTCATATAAGCACACACAATTGCACAAATACATACATAGATCACATACGAGCTTTCACATGGACACACACGTACATACGTATTCACATGCACGTACGCACTCACCTGCATGTACACAGAGTTCATACTCACATGCAAACACACTTCCACCTTTACCAAAGCACACACACACACACACACACTGTTAGACCATTAACAGATTATATATACCCTTTCCACTCTAACCTGGCCCATAAGCCACGCCCCTCTCCTATACTAATAGCTGATTGGTTCATAGAAAATTCAAGCGCAAATGTGTTCACTATTGGTAAACAGATCTGTTATTATCTAAAATAATGTTTAATATCTGGATTATTAAAATGCAAATCATTCCAAGGCATTAACACTTCAGAGAGGGTGTCAAAAAATTATATATATTTATTATAAAAGATCGATATAAATACGGGCTTATTCAGCGCAGTCCTCGGTGGGGGGGAGGGGGGGGAGGTGAAACGCTCAGGGGAACCAATCGGCTATTTGTAGTTATGAACCAGTATATATTAGTTAACCAATGACACGTTAATAAACCACAAATAATTCACTAAATCACTAACAATAATTATAACGACATGGAAGCACACAGTTTCCTTCCCCAGTCACAACAAAGGATTATAAACACAATTACACTAACCAACAAAGTATTGGTTATGGGTAATGTTTTGTGTACCACCGCAAAGCACCAGAATGTTTTACGAGCGCTTGCTACAGTTACTGGTGGCCAGGCTTGGTGTAAGGCTGGTTGGCCACGTGAACACATGTACACCAGCTGCCGCACAGATGGTAAGAATATAGACGTCAGAACCTCCCTTTCGTTGCTGATATAAAACGCTGATCAATCTGCAGTCAGTGCTTCTAGTGACGTCATCTGTAAACAAGACGCGTGTGTATCGGCTTTCTACGCTCGGTTATATCTCATCCCATTCAATAATAGTGGTAGTATTAGTGGTGGTGGCAATAGTAATGTAATGGTAGAAGATTTAATTGGGGTGGTTAGTTAAATTAGTGGTAGGAGTTGTGGTGAAGGTAGTAGAATTGTGGTGGTGGTAGTAAAATTAGTGGTAGGAGTTGTGGTGAAGGTAGTAGAATTGTGGTGGTGGTAAAAATAGTTGTAGTAGTTGTGGTGAAGGTAGTAGAAGTAGTTGTGGTGGTGGTAGTAAAATTAGTGGTAGTAGTTGTGGTGAAGGTAGTAGAAGTAGTTGTGGTGGTGGTAGTAAAATTAGTGGTAGTAGTTGTGGTGAAGGTAGTAGAAGTAGTTGTGGTGGTGGTAGTAAAATTAGTGGTAGTAGTTGTGGTGAAGGTAGTAGAAGTAGTTGTGGTGGTGGTAGTAAAATTAGCGGTAGTAGTTGTGGTGAAGGTAGTAGAAGTAGTTGTGGTGGTGGTAGTAAAATTAGTGGTAGTAGTTGTGGTGAAGGTAGTAGAAGTAGTTTTGGTAGTGGTGGTGGTAGTAAAAAAAGTAGCGGTAGTAGTTGTGGGTGACGGTGATAGTTATAGTAAAACCAGCATAGTAGTAGTAGTAGTAGTCGTAGTCGTAGTATTAGTATTAGTAGTAGTCTTGTAAAGGCATTAGAAATGGTTGTTGTGGCGGTGGTGGTGGCAATAACATTAACGGTGGTGGTAGTAGTAGTAGTAGTTTGATAATATTAATTGTAATAAGTAATAATAATTAATAATTAGAATAACAATAACAATAACAATAATAATAATAATAATAATAATAATAATAATAATAATAATAATAATAATAATAATAACAACAACAATAACAATAATAATAATATCATTGGTAGCAAAAATGGTGACATGACAATAACAATAATAGAGATGACAATAATAACAATAATAATAACAATAACAACAATAATAATAATAATAATAATAATAATAATAATAATAATAATAATAATAATAATAATAATGATAATAATGATACTGTTAGTCGTAGAAATATCAATAGCAAGACTTTCCTTGTTATTATTGTTGTTAGAAATATCACCATTATCATAAGTAACAGTAACAGTAGCTAATGGTAGGAGCACAATCGCACTATTTAAAGTAACAGTCTCTATCACTAGTAGAAGCACTGATGGTGGTGATTGTAGTAGTAGTGGTAGTAGTAGTAGTGGTAGTAGTTGTTGTTGTATTACTCATCAATGTTATTCATCCACTCATCATAGCTCATCCAGTTCTGGCTGACTCACTGACCGTCTCGGGTAAGTGTTTATAATTATATGTACTGATTAATTATGTCTCGTTTAAAATGTTCAATTAAACCATAGTAATTAGTGGTAAGGTTATACAGCTAATTAATATCTCTCCTGTATTGTGTCACCTCTCTCTTTCTCTCTCTCTCTCTCTCTCTCTCTCTCTCTCTCTCTCTCCAGTGTCACTAAAGTGTGTTATGTTACTATTACCTTCCAACAGTGTGGGTGGGGAGGGGGGGGGAGGGGAGGTCGTCACGGTCTGCCAGGTGAGTTAAAAGCCTCACAGGTAAACATGACTCTTTCCCATATTCCGAAAACTTGGCTTATAGACCACTCAGAGAGTTTGGGTTACTGGCCACTCAAAGTACCTGACTTGTTTGCCACTTAGAGAACATTTACGAGTCAACTTAGTAACCTTAGTAACCATCACAATATATAGAAGTTAATTGGTTAATGGTATTATGATGTCACTCATTAAGCAGCCAATCAACTTCCACGAATTGTGATGGTTGCTAAGGACGCCAAAAAGAGGGCGGAGTTTAGTTGATAGGTTCTGTGATGTAAACAACTGTCAGTAATGGTGAGGTTATCAGAGGTGGAGGTCGACAACTAAATTCTCTCTCTATAATTTTGTCATAATCTTGTGTTTCTTGTTGTGTTTTACCCTTAATACTAAAGTAACATTTCGTTCCTACTCTTATAAGGTATTGATGCTGTTGCCGGTAATTGATTATAAGTATTTAAGGTGCATTAGTTTTCTATTATTGTATTTAATGTGTACCATGATTGTGATGTATGAAGACGGAAGAGGATAGTATATACATATACACACACACACATACACACACATACACACACATACACACACACATACACATTATATATATATATATATATATATATATATATATATATATACATTAAAGATGTGTCATTAACGACTCTGTATATTACAGGAGCTCCACGTCATCTGCTGGTCTGTCAAACCTTCCCTCCCACCCCCCTCTCCCAGTGCCACGTCCCACCCCACAGGACACCTCCCTCCCCATCTCCTGGCAGGTGTTCCCGGAAGACACCCCGGAAGGCCTGGCATTAGGGGAGACACCCAAGCCTACCGTCACCCCAAGTTATTCCATTCTCCACGCTTGCCTGATCCTGGGGGGTGACGTGCCACCCTGTGTGGGCCAAGCGGAGCTCTACGGCGCGCTCCTGAACCAGAACCTCCAGAAGCCGTCACCGGTAGACTCGACTCCGTCAGGCATCGATGTGATCCAGCAGTTGCACCCAAACGCCCAGATTCTTGAGTTTCTTTCTAAAAATCCTCAGCTCCAGCTAGGCGGCGACAGTGTACAGGTAGATAGCTCACGTCTTCCTGATGTTCAGGAGATTCTGTCGCAGGTTCAGTCTGTTCAGGAATCATTCATTAACTCCCAGGCATTCCAGACAGCCGGCACCGTGACCGAGACAGTAAATAGTCCAAAACAGAACGCGACGAAGACCCTCTTGAGTAAATACCCCCACGCCCAGGTAGTCCCAAGCATCTACTCCCCTGTCCCCCTCCGAGACACAAACAGGAACAACAAAGATGCTGAAGCGACACCAGTTTTTCCTCTGGATGACGTTGAGAGCACGGAAGAAAGACCTCTACAAGCCTACAGTTCCTTGGACCAAGCGATAAGAGATACACCTCCAGGCGACAACATCACGTCTCTCGTGATGAATATCGAAGTTCCAGACTCCCCCTACAGTCACTTAAGGAACTTTGGCCCTCAGCAGGTACAGATGCCTGATCCTATGCTTCAGGTAATAGGGGGAGGTGACCTCAACTATTCTTCAACACCTCCTCTAGCAATGCCCCCTTCAGAGAACATGGCGGAGGAATCAGAACACCAGTCGAACCGAAAGACCCCTGAAGAACACCCAAAAACAACATACGATGAGGCGGGCAACGACCAAGAGGAACCCCTAGACGCTATCCCTCATCCAATTCTTGAAGAAATTTTGCTCAACGATAAGAATATCGACCAGGAAAACACAGAAGAGGAGTTGTTACAGAAAGATCCCAGAGGCCAGCTGTTAAAGTCGCTGTTCCCTCACGCCCAACTCCTCCCCAATAAACACAAACGATTCTCCTTCACAAGAGCGTAACAAAACAATACACTCATGCCACAAATGAACGCCACCTAAGGCAGAAGACGGGCGAAAGGATCATCCAGCTAAGCCAGCATAATACCAACTCTGAAACGATCATCGGTCGTCGCTTTTACCATCGTGTCTTTCAAGCTATGGGAGGAATGGCAGTGATGAGAGCTCGCATGTGATGAAGAATCCTAAAAAAAAATATGATTAGTTAACATTATGCTTTTAACCTTGGCTGAAAATATAACAGTAAATATAGACTCTAGGCTTTAGCACAGGTAATGAGTAAATATGATTATAGCTCAAGTATATTTATGTTATGTTAATCCCTTACTAATTATGTCTCATTATCTATATAATCTATTCATTACCATTCTAATTAACTATCTCCATTATTAGTCGCTCTAGTTTTTCCTATCATTTATCTTTTTTGTTTTAAATATTTATCATTACAAAAACTTAAACTACCTGTATAGTCATTTTCAATTATGGGACAACAATTTTACGTGAGTCGGATCTTTCTGTCATATGTGCTGCGTTGACCTGATTCTGGGAGAGGTAGACACTTAAATAAATACACACACACAGGGCATGAGTAGGCGGGTGTGTAGGAGCAGGTATGGAGGGACGGGTGTGTAGGAGCAGGTATAGAGGGACGGGTGTGCAGGAGAAGGTACGGTGGGCAGGTATGTAAAAGCAGGTATAGAGGACAGGTATGTAGGAGCAGGTATAGAAGGCAGGTATGTAAGAGCAGGAATGGAGGGGCGGGTGTGTAGAAGCAGGTATAGAGGGACGGGTGTTTAGGAGCAGGTGTGTAAGGCGTGGAAGATGCGGGTTATGGGAGCGTGTAGAGGGTGGACTGTATATGTTCACTGCCTTGACTAAAGGAAACTGTTACCAAACTTACGTCACCGTCCACACCTGTCTACCGTCACTCTACTGTCACTATCTATCTATCTATCTATCTATCTATTTATCTATCTATCCGTCAAATACTAGTAATAGTAGTTTTTAGTGGTTGAAGTAGTGATACTGGTTATTGTGGCAGTGATGGTTGTAGTGGTAGTAGTAGAAGTAGTATTAATAGTTGTACTAATTGTGGTTATACTAGTAGTATTAGTAATATTATTATTATTATTATTAGTAGTAGTAGTAGTAGTAGTAGTAGTAGTAGCAGCAGCAGTTATAATAGTAATATTACTATTAGCAGTAGTAGTAGCAGTAGTCATATTATTATTTTTTATCATAATAGTAGTATTACAAGTAGTAGTAGTAGTCGGGACCAAGTGCAAGATGCTTCTACGCCAGACTCGCGGAGGTGATCTCCGAACAGAAGCAGCAGCCCAGAAGTTATGTTACAGCCTGGATGAGATGTCGACTGTCTTTCTCTCTCCTTAGGTCGGCTTTCCTCTGCCTCAGGGGAACGAGAGCATCGGCCCCAAAGCCGACAACAGTTGCAGATATTGACTATGAGGCAACAGTCACTGAATGCCGCATAGATCTGCGGCTCAACTAACTGAACACAGCCAGGGTAGCTACTTATGTATTAGGATATTTAATTTTAAGGTAATAAAATGGCGGCGAAGGTGTGGCTATTGGGAGAGGCTGGAGACCATGAGTAGTAGTAGTCGTCATATTAGTAGTCATATTAGTAGTATTGCTAGTAGTAGTAGTAGTCGTCATATTAGTAGTCATATTAGTAGTATTGCTAGTAGTAGTAGTAGTAGTAGTAGCAGAAGTAATTAAGTGTAAACCAATAACTACTTTATTATACATTCCATTGTCGTTAAAAACTTAATTTATAAATGACTAGACAAAGAGATGGATACAGAGATAGATAATTGTCTATTCAAAGAGCAGTAATCTTATTTTTACACACCTGCAGATACACAACTTCATTTATTACAGGTGTGGTAGATTTCATTAACTCTACACCTAATGTGACTATTGCCAGAAAGAGTCAATTTAAACTCTAAAGGTAATTACTCTAAGTTTAATTTATATCGGTAATACTCAGAACACCTACAGTAACCAACCCACTTGAGTGTTTGGTAAATATTATGACACAACACATATAAAAAAAAACTATTGTGTTTCCTTGACGGTAATTATAAAACATAGTGTTACTAGCGATGTTTTTGGTTCCTCTTGTGGTGCATTACTTGTGGTAGGTGAGTGTTGTGTTTCGTTTACTGCAAGGGAAGGTGAGGGAAGGTTATTATTATGAAGTGTTTGTGTCTCTCTGATTCTGAAGTGTTTTTATACATACCTGAATTATACATTTATACATCTGTTTATTATTCTGTATATTTATGTATTGTTTTAATTTATATTAGTATTTATTCTTCAGCTGGTCTGAGGTTATAGTTTCTGAACCTTTTATTAGTTAATGTTTGTTAATGTTATTCTCGTTGTGCTAAATGTTAATATGTATATTTAATTAGTTATTGTAATTATTTATTCCTGTACATAGGTTTAGGTGAGAGAGTTTATCTTTGTTATTTATGTTAAATAAAATTATGATGGTATATTATGTGGAGTTGTTTTATTGGATGGATAACACTGGTGATACACACACACACACACACACACACACACACACACACACACACACACACATACACACACACCACTACTGGGTATAAGTTTACTTAGGTGATGTTGCAGGTGTGTTTTAGCTTTCTGATGTCACGTTCTCTCTCTCTCTCTCTCTCTCTCTCTCTCTCTCTCTCTCTCTCTCTCCTGATGTGTCCGCCGGAATTAAACTTTCTTCATGACCTCTCGTAAAAGTTCAAATTCTTTCGCTCTCTATCGCTTTCTCTTCTCTCTTTTGTTTCCCTTTTCTCTCTCTTGCTTCTCTCTCTCTCTCTCTCTCTCTCTCTCTCTGTCTATCAGTTTCTCGTTATCTCTTATTTTATCCCTTTCATATAATACAGAATATATCTGACTATACCTCAAACTCAACCAAGAATTAATATTATAATAACATTCTTTACAGTTTCTTTACCTTGTCTGTGTGTCAGTTTAAGAGTGTCAGATTTTTTTTTTGTTCAGTAAGTAACAATGGCAACTCTCCTTCAGCTGTCATTCCCAACCTGGCCTCAATGGTGGACGACACATTACACAGGGTGACTGACAGCTCTTTGTGGGATTTCTCCTCTCTGCCTCAGGCTATCACTGCTGACGTGGGGACTATGCCTCCTCTTTAACCCATACCCTCCCCCCCTCCACCTCCCCTTCCCTTCCCTTCCCTTAAAAATACCCCCTATTATTATTACCCCCTTAAAAAGTTACTGGACTATCAACACGAATGAAAATAAACAAACGGGGAACCATTGAGTAACCCCCCGCCGCCCCCTCCCAATCGGAAATCACCCTTGGGACACGCGCTTCGCCACCCACTAACGCTTACGATCATCAGTCGGCTTCTGGGCCACCGAGCCTCAGGTATTATAGTACGTGCGTGTAAGAATATGTACGTGCATGTGAGTGTCTCTACCTGTGCATTTGTGTGTGTATGTGGATAGGAATGTAAGTCTTAGGTCACTTTTAAGCAGCCTCGAAATTCCTAACCAGTAACTTGGCTGGGTGCATCCCTCTCCCACTCCACCTCCAGAAACACATAAACCAGACAATTAATCAGTGGTCAGCCAAGGTGGAGTAAAGTCAACACTTACCCCCGAACACTTTAATTTGGTTCAATAAGTTAAAAGATGTAGTTTCTTTCTGTTTTTAAAGCCTATCCTGATATTTGTTTTGGTTATGAACATGATCGATTATATAACATGATGTTGGAGCTTCGAAACAGGCGACTGGTCATTTACACTGGATATTCCACCAATGAGCGTTGACCAGAGAGGTTGACAGACGCCCACCGTGCCTCGAGGCTCACCTTCACTCGACAGTGTGTTGATACGGAGGAGGAATTTTGGGCAAGAGTAGTGTTCACCCAACAACCATGACTGAAACAACACAAGGTAACATACCCATAAAGTTATATTTACACCCTGTAACGTTGTTAATTTTAGTGTACTGTTTATAAGATTAATTTATGAAATCCCGTATATCTTACAGCCAATAACTATCATAATCTAACATGAAAGTAAAGAATATAACAAAGAGATAAGGTCTACATAAGTTTACACAAATATGAAGAACAATTGAGCGGCGTCGGGGATGTCACAGATTCAGGGAAAGTTTATTGACGAAACATTTGTTGATATCCTTAGTGATTTTTTCCTTCCCTCTCAGGCAGGTCCTAAGCCAGTTTAACTTTACAATATAAACAGAAAAAAATACTTGATATAGAAATAATTAAACATCCTTGATTATCTGACTTACTGGCTTGATCTCTTAAGTCCCTGACCTCTCAACACGACCAGTACTGCCCTGTAATACCCTGCCATAATTGACGTCCTCACACTAATACTGAAATTAATCCATAACGTCTGTGGGAAGTTACCGAGTGAATACGAAATCTATCACGGACGGACGGACGGACGGACGGACGGACGGACACACTTACGGTCCGGGAGGAATACTGAGAGAAGGAAATTTAACATTGGTCAACAAGGAACGGCACTCCCATTACAGTGAAACGAATGACTTAAAGAAACCGTAGCATTCCTAAATATTACATCGAAGTTCTTGAAGTACGAGGAAGTGGTCTAATGCTCCAGAGGTGTGAGGACGTTCCTAGGCGTGAGTGTGAGGACGTCCCCAACACAACGAAAACAGGAAAAGAGACCAAACTCACCGAAAACATTGGTCTCTGATGATGAGCTGTACAACACTGAGAATTACAAGATCAAATGGTTCTCCTCCCAAAAAGACCTTAACCTAATTCGTTCCTGAGGCATTAAAACAGTTTAAGTACTGTACATGATCACCGATGGCCAGTTAGAAGCTTAAAATAAAGCATAGAAGTTATTAATATTAGGCAATTATCCTATTTAGTTTAATGGACAGGATTATATAGTCTACGATTAAGCTTTAATAAACCATCAGTCGTTTAGTCAAATAGAGACAACTTATTGGTTTTATTATTACAACTTAAGATTAATTCATATATGGTAAAATTTAGTGTGTTTCAGTATAAGCGTCGTTTACTGTGATATGATGGCTAAATTATACTATAAGTTGGTTAGGTTAGGTTAGGTCAGGTTATGTCAGGTCAGGTCAGGTCACGTTTTGTATGAAAGTATTCATTTATATGTAAATTTATGATCTACAGGATCGTTCATGGTTCGTCAAAGGTTTACAAAGAAGAGAAATACATAGAAGTTATCACTAATGGCCAATTATCCCTATTTAGTGTCACATACAGTACAGTATATATTGGGTGGAGTGCCGTTTTTATTTGTTTGTTTTCGTATTATTTAAGTCATTTATCTGTCAACATTTAGCCTAGAAAAAGTAAATGTTATCAAAAAGAACACTGAAAAACTCTCAAGTGATTTTGTAACATATAATTAAGTCGAGATGATAATATAAATACAACATACTGGTCAGGCTCCGGAAGAGTTGTCCGGGGGTCTAGGTAGGCCCTGGTCGAAGCTTGACTAGCACGAAAAAAAAAAAATTTTGTTTACTAAATGTAATTTTGGTGACCTGCGGTGTAATGGTCAGCATGCTCACCTCGCAAGTGAGTGGCCCCGTGTTCGCTTCCCGTCAGTGTAAAACTATGTTGTTGTTTTTTACGTCATTTACCTCTGTCTACCCAACAGTAATTGGGAACCTGGATATTTATCGATTTGCGGATCATGTCCTGGGGTAATGGTTAGCCAGTGCAGTTGGCGAGTGGTCCGGTCTTCCTGTATATTCCTTGACACTAGGTCATGCAACTCGTTAACTTAGGGTTTGGTTGTTGTGTTGGCGACAGCTTCTACACCTTAAACAAATTCACCCTCGGTGGCCCCAAGGACGATAGAAGGGGTCATCCCACACCTGACCCAAAATGCGACCCAGCTTGCATATGACGTTACCAGGTGCAGCCACAACTGTGAAAACTGGTGTCCTCTGTCACGTAATGCCCGCTAATTGTTTAGTGTTTGGGTGTTATTCTTGGTTCAAACGAGAGGGGAATATACACTTCCATACACGTCCTAAAGATGAAGAACAAAGATACAGTGGATTAACCTCTTCAAGAGAAAAGACAACATAAATACTGTTAATGCTCGGATATGCTCGGTGGGCATTGAACAGCTGCATTGAATGTTCAATGCAACGGAAGGTATCAGGACCCACGGACTGGGAGGGTTGTGGATTTCCCCCTCCCTCACCCATCATCCCCTCCCCCCTCCCTCAACCACCCTGGGAGGAGGAGGAGATTGGTACCATCCGTCAGTTGCCAACGGAAGGTATCAAGACCCACCATAATAATCATTAGTTAATACTCCTCATACAATACTGTCATTACATTGTTGCAAGTCTTAAAGGCAAACAAACAAACTTGTGAACAATTTGGCCACAAACTCTAACATATTTTCATGGCTTAAAATGTGTACAACATGTGTACAACATATTTTTTTCTAAACACCTGTCAAAAAGAAACACCTCATAGCTAGTGATCGTCTGTTAGTCTGACTCTGTTCACAGAAGTAAATAAAGCGGGATAAACAAATCTGGAACGAGGTTTGCCCGGTTCGCTCAAGTTTTGAATCAGCTTCGTTTCGGGGTTTCGGATTTATGAGAATGTCAACTCAGACCCTCAGTGCTGTCTCTGCCTTAGTTCCGGTAAGGGAGCACACGAAGGCTTATGGACAAACAAATAGCCGGTGAAGAGACTGAAATTGACGAGATCTGCTGAGTATCGTAAAGTGTTCGTCAGTGTTGTAAAGTGTTCGTCAGTGTTGTAAAGTGTTCGTCAGTGTTGTAAAGTGTTCGTCAGTGTTGTAAAGTGTTCGTCAGTGTTGTAAAGTGTTCGTCAGTGTTGTAAAGTGTTCGTCAGTGTTGTAAAGTGTTCGTCAGCGTTGTAAAGTGTTCGTCAGTGTTGTAAAGTGTTCGTCAGTGTAGTAAAGTGTTTGTTAGTATCATGAAGCGTTTGAAAGTGTCTCAAAGTGATCGTAATTTTAAGAAGTGCTTTTAAGTGCCGTAAATTTTGCATAACTATTTTGAAGTGATCACCTGTATCATAAAGTGTTTGTAAGTAACGTAAAGTGTTCTGAAGTTTTACACGTGATGTGAAGTGTTTATGTCACAGGGTAACTGTGGGCGCCCAAAATACCCATTAGTGTCATGTCACAAAGATTCATGTAATATCCAATAGTTAAGCGTCGTGTAGTGTCGTAAGATGTGGTGTACAAGTGTTATAAAGTGTCCAAGCAGCATACAATAGTGTCATACGGTATCGAAAAGTGTCGTAAGGTGCTGTGAATTCCTGATCGTGTCGGAAAGTGCCATTGTTGTTGTAAAGCGTCAGTAAAGAGCCATTAATGCCTTAAAGTCTCGCAAGTGTCATAAACTGTCATTAATGTTGAAAAGTGTTGCAAAGTATCTTGAATTATCGCAAGTGTCATGAGGTGTCATAAAAGTGTCAACACGGTGCCAGGAGATGACCTTGTACGGTGCCAGGGCTTCCGCGACCACCAGCACAAGGTAACTACTGATGTGTTCTTGACATAAACTAATGCTTAAGGTGTGTGTGTGTGATTGACGGCAGGTAATCTCAACCGGATTTTTTCTTTTCTTTTTCCAGGTAAGTGAGAGTTACAATAGCTCGCTGTTCGAGGGTCATTAACACACCTTGCCATATCTCAAGTACGTCCAAGTTATTAATGTTTCTTGGTTATCGTTTTATTTATCAGCTGTTTCTGGAGTCCTTCACAACGTGTGTGAGCGTAAATTATGGCAGGGTCTTACTGGGCAGTACTGGACATGTTGATAGTTCAGGGAAGGGGGGCGGGGCTTTAGAAAACGACGTGGTTTTTTTTTTGGAGGGGGGAGGGGGGCAAACTGCATACAAATTTTCATTATTTTGATATCAAGATTCTTGCCTGTTTACCTGTAGTGTTGATGACAGATGTTATTTGTCCTGCTTTCGTTGGAAGGTTAAATGATTTAGGACTTGCCTGAGCTGTAGATAGATTTAGCTTCACTAGATACCACAGCCTCAACCTAAAGAAACTACAGGCACATAGTTAGCTTCACTGTGGGTATGAGTCGTGACAGTAAACTAAGTGAGAACTACTTGGTGTCCGGACTTGGCCAATACAACCACTTGTTCCGGTATACACTCAAGAGTCCGCTAGTTTTTATAGTGTTTTAACCAAACAATATAATAAAACCTGTTTTTGTTAATAATTTATCACTGTGTAATCTACCGATTCTGTACCGAGAAACACAGAGAAAGAATCAGGTTTAGTGTACAAGATTAACATTTTAGTTATACCTTAAACGTGGGAAAAATTTGTTTTCTCTAATGTAAAGTTCACAACGTTTTCTTTGATCAAAATTGGATATTAAGCTCTATTGCCTCGTGATATATAAACGTTTAACTGTGTGTGTGTGTGTGTGTGTGTGTGTGTGTGTGTGTGTATGTGTGTGTGTGTTTGCGTGTGAATAAAAATATGTAACTTCATATACATAAGTTATGTGAGTATATATGTAAGTGATCATGTGAATGTGAGTGATTATGTGTACATAATGTGAAAGTGCATACATTAATACATATATTTGTATGAGAATAAATGTATGCACGTATGTATGTATAGGTATTGACGCATCTTTTAGGTTAAGCGTGTGTATAATGGGCGTCACAGTTCCCATCAACACACACAGCCCAGTTCACAGTCATTTACCTGCAGGTTCCATCAACATTACCTGGGTAGGTAGTTGGTCCTCGTGATGGGAATAGAATGGGAATGGAAAGGGAAAAGGAGAGGGGGTGGAGGAGAAATGAAAGAAGAAGAAGGTAAAGAAGAAGAAGAAGAAGAAGAAGAAGAAGAAGAAGGAGAAGAAGAAGAAGACAGTATCCCACACTCCCGCAGGTCACAGCTTGGCCCTCCCACAGTACACTTCAGTTCGGTATTAATTTATTACCAAGTATCTTCCTATGAGTGATTATGTGAACCTTATTTGTGGTATGTGTATGTGTATGTATGTGTGTGTGTGTGTGTGTGTGTGTGTGTGGAGGGAGTCAGTTTGTATATGTGTGTGTAAATGTAATACTGATAATAAGGAATACAGTAATGACATAATTTGCATATAAGTATTAAAAGTTTAGTTCCAAGATGGTTGTGACGATCTGACCCAAACTGATATACTTACCTGGACACCATGAAGATCAGGGTGTGTGTATGTGGGGGGAGGGGAGGGGAGGGAGGGGGGTTGTGTTGTTTGGAAGGGGTTGTATGGGAGGAGAGGTGTAGTTTATAAATGAATGTAATTATCTCTCTCTCTCTCTCTCTCTCTCTCTCTCTCTCTCTCGGACAAAATAACCTTGTAACCCACATTAACACACACCCACACTATAGCTTGCTGGCTCTAAACTTCCCTAAATAACAGGTAAACTGGGACTCATCTTCCCTAGTGACTCTCAGGCGGCGTGAGTTCTGTAGTGAAGAGTTTATATTCCGGTTTATTTTTATATATAAATTCCTAACGGTCAATAGAAATATTTATTTATATATTTTTTTAAATTTAGGAACTGTCTTACGAGGAGTTGATTTATACTTGATATATAGTTGTTTATTTTTCATCTATCTATCTATCTATCTATCTAATCTATCTATCTATCTATCTATCTATCTATCTATCTATCTATCTATCTATCTATCTATCTATCTGTCTATCTATCTATCTATCTATCTATCTATCTATCTATCTATCTATCTATATGGATGGATGGATGGATATCTCTGAAAGCCAGGAGGAGGTGAATAGTAAATAGAAGAGAGGGATAAAACTAAAGGAAGGAAGAAAGAAGAGTTAAATAGGGACAAGAAAGAAGGAAGAAGGCATAACAAAAGGATAAAGAATGAAAGGAGGAATAACGGAGAGAATATGGTGGATAGGAAGATAATAGGACAAAGAAGAGAAATGATAGAGAATAGGTGTGGAGGTGGGAATGGGAGAGACAGGGTGGGGAGATGGGGGGGAATGGAAGAGATGGGGAATAAAGAAAGAAAGAGAGAGGGTGGAGGAGGAGGAGGATGGAGAAGGTAAAGGGGAGGGGGGAGAGAACGGAGAGGATAAGGAAGAGGAATGGACAAATAAGAGGAGGATGAGGAAAGAGAAAAATAAGGAGGAAGAGGAGATAATAATAATAGGGAGAAGAGATGGGAGATAATGAAGGAGAAGGAGTTAAGAGGGGGAAAGGAAATGGGTGGAGATGAAAATGAGGGAGGAGGGAGAGCGCCTGTGAGGATGGATGGGTGTGTGTGTGAGCGAGGCGGACCCCCTTCAGTGTGTGTGACGAGGCGGTGGGTGACGGAGGAGCCTGCGAGGAGCTACTAGAACCCTGCTGTAGTGGTGATGTAGTGGTGAGTGTGGGATGCTACAGCCACACCGCCCTCAGGAATCACCAGGACCTATACAGAAGTAGGAGTCTCTATCCTTGTATCCTCCTCTTGAGATAACACTGTGAGGCTAACTCTTGCCAGGATTATTGTGAGATTTTCTCTGTGTAATATGGAAGAGTTGAGTCTCTCTCTCTCTCTCTCTCTCTCTCTCTCTCTCTCTCTCTCTCTCTCTCTCTGTTTTATTGAATGATGTGAACCAAATATCTCATTTAAATAAGACTTAAAAAATTTCGTTCATTCTGGTCATACGTGTGTGCTTGTGTGAGTGTAAATCGCCCCCCCCCCCAAAAAAAAAAGTATCTTTACGGAGGTGATCGATGAATTTCATAATGAACACTCTCACTCCTGTTGACTCGGTAGGGTTGTCAAAATCTTTCGTCCGTTGTGTCATATTGTCTAACACAAAATCATATAGATACTTTTTTTGGGTGGGGAATACATACATGTGTTTGTTTGTGTTTATCTAATTATGCATATAGTGTGTTTATATATATGTAGTTCAAATTCTGTATTAAGAAACAACATATAGTAAGAAACAATGAATTCTTGCTAACTTGCCTTTGGTCTCTCCATCTCTATACACCTCACACTTACTGTAATCCAGATAATTTCCGATTAATTGTTAAAAAATATAAATGACGTTTTTACCATAGAGATTTAGTACAAAACACACACATTACAACAACACATAAACACACACACACACGCACACACACACTATATCAACACATAAACACACACACACACACACACACACACACACACATATATATAGTCACACACACACACACACACTCACACACACACACACACGCACACACATACACACACACACACACACACACACACACACCTCACACACACACACACACACACACACACACACACACACTCACACACACACACACACACACACACACACACACACACACACACACACACACACACATACACATACCTCAAAGCACTGGATGTTGTGAACAGTTAATGTGAACTTTAATTGTTCAGACAAATGTGTCAAGGAGGAGTGGAAGGAGGGAGTGAAGGAGTAAGTGACTGAGTAAGGGAGGGAGGGAGTAAAGTGACTGAGTAAGGGAGGGAGGGAGTCAGTGAGTGAGTGAGTGAAGGGACTAAGTGAGTGAGTGAGGGCGTGAGTGAATTAATGAAGGAGCGAGTGGAGGAGGAAGAGTGGGAGTGAGTGAGGGAGGGAGAGAGGTAATGAGAGAGGGAGGGAGGGAAGGAGGGAGAGAGGTAATGAGAGAGGGAGTGAGTGAGGGAGGGAGAGAGGTAATGAGAGAGGGAGGAAGGGAAGGAGGTGATGAGAGAGGGAGGGAAGGTTCATGAGAGGGTGTGGTAGTGGATATAACGTGCAGGTTAAAGCCTTCATTAAGAAACTTGTCTCCGTGAACGTGACGCCCCGCGCGCTCGTGTGTGTGTGTGTGTGTATGTGTGTGTGTGTGTGTGTGTGTGTGTGTGTGTGTCGCATCCCATCACAAGCTAGACAGTTGACAAAGTACATACCAGGCGACTGTGTCAAATAGTTTAAACAAGTGACCTGGAACCTGTGACACCTGTGTATGTATGTATGTATGTAAATCTCCTCCTGCGTGACGAAGTGTGTGTGTGTGTGTGACGCCCTCTCTTCGTAACGGCCATAACAGTATAACTTGTCACAGCATGACTCAGTTTATGGGTGACGCGTAAATTAAAAATATTTTATGTGACTCGTAACCTGATGGAATGACTTTATTATTATTATTATTATTATTATTATTATTATTATTATTATTATTATTATTGTTGTTGTTGTTGTTTTTGTTATTAAAAAAAATCATCCCGAAAAAAACAGACCACAAGGGGAAAAAAATTACTGAATATAATGGTTAAAAATTTGTGTTCTAGGTAACTGAACCAAAATTTATATACTTAACTGTTGTGTAGAGTAAAGGAGAAAGACCATGTTGTTTATACTGAGAGTAACTAACACGCGCTGTGACAGTGGAACAAGCGGCCCTCACCTTTACGTTGGGTACAAACAATTCCGGTCGTTCAGGGACGGATTGTGTGTTCGACTTAAAAGAAGACATACACGGTGCCAGGTGAGGTCATTAATTGATTCACTCAACAAATCAATTACTAGCTGAACTAATTTCGACGCGGTAACTAATTCCTACCTCCTTAACACGGGACGTCAAGTCAGTTAGAACTACGGCATATGATCAATATAACTGTGGCAGAGTATAATATCTTCCCTTATGTTATGTATAATATGTTACGTGTAATAGTGGGTAATATTGTAGAGTGTATGAGAGAGGAATACCGAGTCATTACTACACACACACACACACACAGACACACACACACACACACACACACACACACACACACACACACACACACACACACACACACACACATATATATATACACAGGAGAAATTTTATAATAGTCTTATGTAATTAATATTATTTAGGACAATAATGAGGAAAATTTAATAAGAAGAGACAAAGAATATATAAATATATTAGTGTGTGTGTGTGTGTGTGTGTGTGTGTGTGTGTGTGTCTGTGTGTGTGTGTGTGTGTCTGTGTGTGTGTCTGTGTGTGTGTCTGTGTATTATAATAATAATAATTACCTACCACTGTATTGAAAAGCACAACAGCCCGAGGGTGAAAATATACAATAGACAAAATTGACTTACAGTATTAGGTCTAGTGACATTAACGATTGATTAATTTAACAAAACTTTAAACACAAAATTTGGACTTGGAGTGAAAATACAGCTTATTAATGAATCACTGACGATATGATCTTGTCGACGATAACAGATAGTTGTGGTACTTCCCTTGGTGGTGTTGTAGAGAATAACAGGAGGTTGTGGTACTTCCCTTGGTGGTGTTGTAGAGAATAACAGGAGGTTGTGGTACTTCCTTCCCTAGAATTAAATTATATAGGGGGAACCATTTTTGTGAGGGGGGGGTGGTGGACAGCGAAGTGACAGCCAAAGAAAGTGAAATTTGTCGATTTTTTTTTTTTTTCTTCTATGTATCGTTGTTCACACCCAGAGAGAGGGGAAAAAGGGGGCGCTAATGACAGAGAAAGGAATGACGATGATTTTGAGTGAAGTGTAACAACGTTTAGATTGAAGTGTGACAAATGAGAGAGTGTGAGAGAAAGGGGGGTGAAAGAAAGAAAGAGAATAGGGGGTCGGTAAGAAAGAGATAGAAGGGAGGGGGAGGGAAGAAAGAAAGGAGGGGTGCAAAGAGAGAGAGAGAGAGAGAATGAATGGGGGGCGGGAAGAAAGACAAAAACAAGGGAGTAGAAAGAGTAAAAAAGACGAAGGGAGAGAATGTTTGGGAAAAGAGAACAAGCGAGAGGAATAATACGTGGAAAGGAGATAAACAAACAGAGAAGACAGAGAGATAAGGTGTAAACAAGTTCAAACATGCTCACAATATTTTCCCACGGCAGGCATTAGGTTCCCACGGCGTCAAGTAAGCGCGTCTCAAGGTGTTTATTGTCCCGTGTGACAATCATACATGTAGCGGTGTTTGTACAGCCACCACTACCAGCATTACCACCACTACCACCATTACCACCATTACCACCACTACCACCATTACCAACAACACTACCACCACTGCCACCATTACCACCACTACCATCACTACCAACACTACCACACCATTACCACCACTACCATCATTACCAACACTACCACCATTACCACCACTACCACCATTACCACCACTACCATCATTACCACCACTAACACCATTACCACCACTACCGCCATTACCACCACTACCACCCACCACTACCATTACCACCACTACCACCATTACCACCATTACCAACAACACTACCACCACTACCACTACCAATTATTAACAACCTACCACCATTATCACCATTATCATATTTCCCCACCTGAACTACTTCACTGTACACAACATGGCGGCCACACCTACAAACACACACACATCACAGAACAAATACAAAACAAACACGACGTAGAAAACTTAGATTCATACGGGTAATAAGACATCTCCAACAGACAGACAGACAGACAGACAGAGAGACTGACAATATTTCAAACAAGACCGGACAGGGTGTGGAGTCCTCTTACTCACCTTCACCACATCACTTCTTCAGGAGGCCGGCCAGGTCCTACACCACAGGTATAAGGAAGTACTTGTTGACGCACCTGTGGCTCAGTGTACTGTAGTGTACTGTAGTGTAGTGTACTGTACTGTACCTCCTGCTGTAGTGAGGCGAGACCTGTGGTAAACTTTGTTATACACTGAACAACGTCATAAAGAACAACACTGAACATCATCAAGAACAACACTGAACATCATCAAGAACACTAAACAAGATCATCAATAAAAACACTGAACAACAACATCAAGAACAACACTGAACAACAACAAGAACAACACTGAACAACATCACCAACTGAACACATCATCAAGAACAACACTGAACACATCATCCAAGAACAACACTGAACAACATCACCAAGAACACTGAACAACGTCATAAAGAACAACACTGAACATCATCATCAAGAACAACACTGAACAACGTCATAAAGAACAACACTGAACAACATCATCAAGAACAACACTGAACAACATCATCAAGAACAACACTGAACAACATCATCAAGAACAACATTAAATATTATTATTATATAGACAGGTGTGTTATGTAGACAGGTGTGTTATGTAGACAGGTGTGTTATGTAGACAGGTGTGTTATATAGACAGGTGTGTTATATAGACAGGTGTGTTATGTAGACAGGTGTGTTATGTAGACAGGTGTGTTATGTAGACAGGTGTGTTATATAGACAGGTGTGTTATGTAGACAGGTATGTTATGTAGACAGGTGTGTTATGTAGACAGGTGTGTTATATAGACAGGTGTGTTATATAGACAGGTGTGTTATGTAGACAGGTGTGTTATGTAGTGAAAAACACACCTTAACGTTTCCTGGTGACACATATTCCCAGCCAGCCAAAGACGCCCTCACTAGACCAGCACCCACTATTTAGCACACTATCAAACTCTCCTTCTTCACTACATAAAATACCTCCTCCACTCACACACACACACAGGGAGCCACCTAATCCCAGCTACCAGTTAGTGTATCGTATATATATTGTAATAGGCTTGGTGCGTGTGAGAGAGAGAGAGAGAGAGAGAGTGAGAGAGAGAGAGAGAGTATAATACATCTTCCACAAATCTCACATAATAACGCCATAGTCAACCCTCTCAGCAGCAATGTACCCATCATCCCGAGGTGATAATGAGTGACACGGAAGACACGCTGCTTCAAGAACGCTCCCTTTCCCCTCCCCTCAACTGATGTTCTACCGCCCTTGATAATAACTCCCTGAAGCATCGAGGCGTTCCAAGTAGTGATCAGTTCGCTCTCAGTAACACGCAGGGGAGTGTGTGCTGAGTGGGTCACACCTCCCCTGGTCGTGTGAACTACTGTACCTCGAGGGGTAACTACACCAAATATTCCGCTGCCGTTGATATGTCAGTGAAAATGTTTGAATGCTTTCCCACTGGAGGCTGTGTGACTTCCGGGTTGTTAGCTGTTGTTAAATGCAATTAGCATTAGTATTTATCGGGCCTTGGGGGTGAACAAGTGAGAGAGAGTGTGCCACAATAAACAATGGAGTTAACTCTCTCTCTCTCTCTCTCTCTCTCTCTCTCTCTCTCTCTCCCAGTACACAAGGAATTCAGTCAAGCTCGATACCTTAAACAAAATAACTTCCACGAGTGTTTTAATAAAGACAGAGACCGGGTCACATAACGGGGGAACTGAACCCTCCAAGACGCGAATTTATGTGGGAAGAAATTAAATGTTGGTGATACATAAATTGTTGAAACGTGAGACGGCTCTTGTGAGTGAGGAGGTCGGTCTGGTACAACATCAAGGGGTCTTACAGATTGCTGGGAGTCTCAGGGTCCAAAATTTTGCGCTGGGAAGAGGTGGCTTAGGTCTCTCATGGTAGTGAATCAGGGAATGAGAGAGAGAGAAAGAGAGAGAGAGGGAGAGAGAGAGAGAGAGAGAGAGAGAGAGAGAGAGAGAGAGAGATAATACAAATCTAAAATGAAAGACTAGATTTAGGCTATTCAATTCATTAAGTTGTGAATAATTTAATAGTATAATTTATGTTAAAAACCTATAATATCTTTAAAAGGAAATAATAAAACATACTTATCCTCTTCGTCAGTTTACAGTGGGCCAGGTGTATGACACTCACGGGTTCCTGAGAATGTTCTAGTGGTGGTGAAGCCTGGACTTAAAAGAACTCACACGGCTTCTGTACTGTTCGTTCCTTTAACTTAAGTGTGTGACATCTAGTGGGGCGGGTATGAACTAACACCACGTATGTACATTTGCCCGAGTAACGATCTTTGAAGAGATTCGACCCAAACTGAGTGTAATTTCTACCAAACATAATAATTCCTATATTCTTCCAATCACTTCTCAACCTCTGTCAAGAATAGTAATTAAAACTTATTCTAATTCATATATCATTCAGGGACCAATTACCCTTATTTCTAACTTCAAATTATTCTTGTAGTGTTGTTTCAGTATTATCACTTCTGGTCACACTGTTATGGCAAAGTACCACCAGCCTACAGCAGCTTAAGACAGTGTTGTATCACCAATCATCGACGTTCACACAATTCTTACTGAACCTTCCACAGTGATCACATGACAATACAATTCTTTCTTGACTCTTACACCTCACCTACTTTTTATGTTGTATCTTTAAACACACAGTCAATACATTCATAACGTTTCATTTACGACATTTATAGTGAGATATCGTGACTAGAGTGAAGGTATTATAGTTGGTGTGTCAGCTGTTGAGTGTTGAGTTTAATTCATTGTTTTCGGACTTCTGTGGGACGAATCTCTTTTGGGTTTGGATCTCATGATGATTAGGATCCTTTTATTTAACCTGATGATTAAACACCCTAATGCTAACCTAACCTAACTTAACGCTAAATGGAGGGGGTTAGGTTAGGTTAGGTTAGGTTAGGTTAGTCTAGCATTAGGGTGCTTAATCATCAGGTGAAATAAGCTAGAGTTCCTAATCATCATGAGATCCCTTGGAGTTCCTTCTTGTTTTCTTAATAACTAACTATGTAATATAACTACATAGTGTCCAGGAATCTCGAAGTTTGTTATTAATTGCATTGCATCTTGACGTCTCTCCTCTGCCTCACTCACCTCAAAAATTATCGTCTTTAATTAACTCTTAAAAAAATAAACATCACTGTGAATTCATCTCTTTTTATATTGACCATTAAATTATGTACAGTAGCTAAAACAACTATCTGTGCATACTTTGTGGGAAACAATACGAGACCATGGACGATAAATTTTGGGTATATGAGGGCTGTCACTAGTCACACGTAAAATATTTCCGAGCATATCGACCCCCACCTGCACAGATACTTGTTTTAGCTACTGTACATGCGTAACACAGACAGTAAGATGTTTACACGTACTAATAACCTACACCTTCAAGACAGCTTCAGCACTCTAAACGCTCAGCCATGTTAATATTTTTGGTGTTCATTTTGTGGGTGATTAAACTGTTTTTGTTTTCATTTCATACTTCACAGAAAAATTATCATTAAGTCTCTGTCTGTTGTCTGTCTGTCTGTCTGTCTGTCTGTCTCCTTTTGTTGTTCCTTCGTATAAATCAATTCCTGAAAGTTTTATGCCCTTTGCAGTCAGTATGGCGTCACAATGGAGGTCGAAGGTCATACTGCTGATAATATCGATGATGGTGACCTGCTCCACGGCTGCTGCTGAACGCCTACTGACCCAGCGGCCACACCCACATCTTCCCCAGAGGACGCCAGGCGCACCTGTCTCCACACCTGGCTGGGGACGTCTTCATTTTGATATCAGTGGTTTAGTTCAACCTCCGGACTCTAATCCTGTCTTAGGACGACCTCAGAGCTCTAACCCTCTCCCAGGACGACCCCAGAGCTCTAACACTGGCCTAGGACGACCCCAGAGCTCTAATCTTCTCCTAGGACGACCTCAGAGCTCTGACCTCCTAGGACGACCTCAGGGCTCTAACACTAACCCAGGAGGACCCCAGAGCTCTAACACCGGTCTAAGACGACCTCAGGGCTCTAACGTTGGCCTACGAATACCTCAGAACTCTCAACTTCTCCTAGGACGACCTCAGAGCTCTAGCCCTGGCCTAGGACGACCTCAGAGCTCTAGCCCTGGCCTAGGACGACCACAGAGCTCTAGCCCTGGCCTAGGACGACCACAGAGCTCTAGCCCTGGCCTAGAACGACCTCAGGGCTCTAGCCCTGGCCTAGGACGACCTCAGAGCTCTAGCCCTGGCCTAGGACGACCACAGAGCTCTAGCCCTGGCCTAGGACGACCACAGAGCTCTAGCCCTGGCCTAGGACGACCTCAGGGCTCTAACCTTGGACTAGGATTACCTCGGGGCTCTCAACGTGGTTTAGGGAGTCCACAGCCTCCTGGCAAGCTTGGTGCATCTCACGGTGTTCATAGTGACTTTATACGACCTCAGAGTCTTCCTAGTAGCCGACCACATCCCCAGAGTTCGCGCGGTGACTCAAGAAGAACTCAGAAAGCTTACGGTGACTGGAACTTAATTCCTGATGAAGATGGAGACCTAAGACGTACTCAAGGTGTTGGTAGTGACCGCGAACAATCTCAGGGCTCCCTCGGTGACCCTGAACAACCCCGAGAATTTTTGAGAAAGCAAAGTAAACCCTGGTGGTACGACGTCCATCCAGACTTCTGGTTTGATCCTCAGTATAAGGACAACCATCGATGGGGGAACAAGACCATATCAAAGAACCTCCGTTACAATAGGTGGGATTTCTCCAGGCGGAAGCTGCCTAACTACACTCCTTACTATGGCAACTACGTCGACACAGACAACGTCAAACACGAGAACCACTTTAACAGTGACAACAACTACGTGGTCACAGAGCCAACTAGAGCCTGGATACGTCCCACAATGATGCCAACAAAATCTAGTTCGATGGATCGTACGCCATTGTCCCCCTTGGCCACGGACATGCTCGGAGGCTCACTCGGCCCCTTGTCCCTGTTGCTCTCAGCCCTGACAGTCCTCTTCATGATCGTATCAACTTTGGGAGTCGACGTTAAATCCTCTGCTGTTAATCTGGCAGACGGTCTGGGTCCCCAACTTCGTATATTAGACTCAATGTCAGAAAAATTACAGAGTTCTTTACCTGAACTTGTGTTGAAGATGATAGACAGTGGAGAGTCTGATGGCAGTGATGACAATGATGGTGGTGGTGGTGAGAAGTCCAGACGATCTCTACCTACAGTATTGAACCGTGCGAAAAGGGAAGAAGTCATCCCTAAAGACCAGACCAATCAAGGAGCAGTTGTACCTATAGACCTAACGAATAGAGAGACAGACATCCCTATGGATCCTTTAGAGTTTAGCCATACAGACAGGAAGACATTTATCCCTGTAGACAATATGAGTGAGAAGGCAATGGTCCCAGTGGAAGGGCCAACAACTATTCAAGTAGAACCTCGTCAGCTTAACTCCCTCTCTCAGATAGCCCTGTCCGCCGCTATGGTCTTGGGGGCTTACATCGGGTATGCCTTCATCAACCTAAACAAACCTTCCTCCTCGAACAAGAATTCAAACCCGGTGAAACGACCTGCAACTAACCAAAACAACGACGGAGCCTTTGGTGTCGATGACGAATCTGAATCTAGCAATGAATCTGACGCTGCTGGTGTATCGAATCCATTGGGAATAATACCAGTTTTCTCAACCGTAAACCTCTCCCCGAGTTACCTTAACAACCTGAAGAACCTCACGTTGCCCAAACCTTCATATAACAATTTCTTGAACCATTACACGACGCAGGGTAGTAATCCCGTCACCCCTCCACTTGGGTCTTATAAGCCTGGAGGGTCACATGTCACTACGAGCACCACTCACCTGGATGGATCTCTTCAGGAGCCTCAGGTGATTCATGACGCAGTGATAGGCAGCTACTATAAACCACTTCAGTCAGGACATCTAAACCCAAGTCGTCTAGGTAAACCCGTCCAGAGCACCACAGTTAACTATTTCTCTGACCATGAACACTATTTTGACAACTCCCCAACTTCCGAGTCTCCTCCTCACGTCAACCCTTGGGGGACAAACGTCTATGGTGATGATGATGATAATTACAAAGTCTCTCCATCAGTACTCTCCAAGCCAAACCTCACACCGTATTTGACTCCTATTACTACAAGTATCTCTGGAGGGAAGGACCCGCCAGACCTCTTCTCATTGGTTGGAGGCGAGAACATTGCCTTCTCCAGCTCCACCATTCACAAGCTCACAACGACAAAGCCCCCAAAAGTAAATTTTAGACCTGAAACTCACTACTTCCAAAGACCTGAAATAACAGACTCCGACAGAGACGAGGAGAAAAAACCACAATCCACGTATTGGACTAAAATATCTACGCCTTATCAGCCTGAAGCCCCGACTCCTACAGTTCACGCCCCAGTGGACACCTCAAGCGGGTACATCAACCAAGGTATCTCAAAACCTCAGGACAGCGATTATTACAAAATCTCAAGTAGCATTCTAATCCGACCCCATGGAACTTCTGGAACCTACGGAGCCTCTCATTGGTCTCAGCCTAACGATGATAACACTGAGTCAGATTTCAACACAGCACAGGATGATATTAAACATGATCGACTCGGAATCCATTCTAATTCAGGTATTCCCGGACATAAACCAGGAGCAAGTGATTCTTATTCCCACATATCAGATCAACATCCAACGCCAGGTTACCAGATGATCCAAAACTACAGACCGGGTGACCTGGCAGGTGAGCAAGACTTTCACTCAGAGCCAACCTCCGCGCCATTAAAAGGCCAAACAAGCCATTTGTTGACTAATGACAATCAACCAAGTCACACTGTACACAAAGACAAATTTCCTTTCAAAGTTATAGGAACTGAGACAGGTTCCCATTCTGTCACAGACAATAAGCCCATAAAAGGAGGAGGCGTCTCACCCAGCCACACCCTCACCTCCTCTACTTCTTTTATGATCCACCACAGGTTCCCGGGGGATGAGACGACAGAGCAGAGTGACCTCACAGTTGACCCCTCCTACCACTACACTACATCCTCAACTGATCACAGCGGAGACCTCGACTTCGGTCCTGGTGATGTGTTGGATGCTCAGGCCTTCAACGCCCTTTTGAAATTAGCCAGACGTGAGTGGGAATCCTTACAGAACTATCGTAAAACTCTACTAAAAAATTCCTCCTACCACAGCAGAGTTGGAAGTGCTACTGAGAATATTCTCCCTCATGGTGGCTCTTATATAGAGGGAACAAGCACACCAGATCACTACCACACTAAACCAATGAATCTTTCACCTGCGTCTGTTGATGAACACAATGTTAATCAAAGTCAATTTGATTTGAAACTCACAGATGACGAAGAAATTCAAGGTGCTGAAGATGACCAAGCGGAGTTCCTGCAACCGGACACACTCTCTAGACTTGATGAATTTCTGCAGATGTTGTTAGCGAACCTCAATTCAACATCACCCTTAACAGAACTTCATATACCTGAGGATATAATACCTGACATAGCTATTATAAAGTCCAAGATCTCAAGTGGTAATTATGATACAGATGAAAACCTCCATAACAGGATGTTACCAAATCTTTTTTCCAAATTGCACCACTGGTGGAACAGCCATCAGACAGCCAACACAGACAACTATGGTGACGACAGCGGAGATAAGCATAGTTCCATCCCCACGAATGTCAACAAAGACTATGTTCACCCTAAGATAGAGACATCCAAGCCTCCGCAGAGCAGAGTTGGTCTCAACAATGCTGGCCAGTCAACTTTCAGTGGAGTTTCTTCGGGGCAAGACCAAAGACAGAGATACCATGTGTCTCATGACATTCAACATGCAGTTCATGACCACATTTCGTCAACACACCATAAACAACATGAGGTGACGACGTCTGCAGGGAGGCTCATCACATGGACGGCCCTGCAGGAGGTGTCGACCAGGGGTTCTGTCACCGCAAATCAGTGGAGTTCTTGGGAGGATAACAGCACGACGCAGTCCCCGACTGAAGAGGTCATGTGGCCAGGTGGTGGGGCTTATAGCTCATTCTCACCGTCCATAAGTTCAGCCACAAGTAATACAGATAAGACTTTATCTTCACTGGATACTTATCGTGATGTATCGTCTGTGAGGACCAACACTGAATATCCAATTAAGGTCTCAACGCCTAACGCAGCTATGCATTTCAGCTCAAGGTCAACGCGCCCGAGGGTGACAGGCAGACATAATGTCGAGTCTTCTAATGCAGAATCCAGAAGTGCGTATTTTCTCGCCCAAGGAAACAGGAGACAGGATAAATTGTCAGGTAAAATAAATGTAAGAAACAACTCAGGAACTGTGTCAGCGTCGAAGGTGTCTTCACCTGTCACTTCATCAGCAGGAAAGAACCTGCGTGTTTCTGCTGCTAATATACCGGACACATCACCGACAAGTAGGTATGCTTTAAATCAATATTCTCCTCAAGGTGGACCAAAAGACGTGGTCATCACTGAATTTGAGGCGACAAGCTCTGTCCCTCCGACGGCAACATCTGTCGTGGCGTCATTACACGAATATTGGCCTCCGCTGACAGCTGTGGACCAGAAGACAGAGAAACAAAGGAAACCTGGTTTTGAGTTCGGCCTGGAATTCCCACAGCCTATAGCAACACCAGATGAAGTTCGGGACGTTCCTCAAGAGCCGTCGGTATTTAGTTCAAGTCAGTTTAATCTTCCAGCAGTTGGTACCCAAGATAAGCGATTCCCGATTCCCTCAGACTACCCCAGTGTTGTGTTTTCCCCCTCTCTTAACGCTGGTCATTTTGCTCCTTTACATAATTCAGGAAGTCCCTCTTTGTCTTTCCAATATCCCGGCTCCCGGTCTTCCCAAAATAACCATTACTCTAAGTCCAATCTTCCCTCAGGTCCTCCTCATTTGCACTTATTCAAATCCTCAGACTTTCATTCCACAAGCATTCCCGCTGCTTCATCATCCACCCAAGGATTTTCTCCTCCCTCATCAGCGACCATACCGAAGGATTATCCACATTTGACTTCCTCCTCCAAAACTGTCTCGAAGGATTTCTTGGAATATGTCCCCTCTCCTACATCGGTGTTACAAGGTCCGACAACGTCATCATTTTCCTTGAAGACCCCATCGAGAGGCTTCACTCAAGGTGACTCACGTCCTTTCGTCGTAAACGACTCCACTAGGGACTCCACCGTGGATACAGTTCCCATGGTTTTAAAGTATCCCACGAGGAATCCATCAGGTCCCCACGTCCCCATGAACCCCACCAGGAGCTCGTCAGGTCCAGTGGAGATCAGCCTCATGAGCAAGTTCCTGTGTCGTGACGCAGTGTACCATGAGGCGTGTGCAGTGTGTATGGAGGAAGTAGGGCACAGACCAGAGTGCCTGATCCGTAGACCTTAAGCTCTTGATGAAGACACTGTGAAAGTCAGACCACTTAACCCAGACTCCTCGTCTAGTAAATACTTCCTCTGGTAACACGTTTATGGAGTGCGGCGGTCGAGTCGATACACCACTCGTCTCCTGTTCCAGTGGTTGGTGATTCGATTCCCGGGCACTCCTTGTTCACCCAGCTGAAAGGGGCACCAAAATTTACAACTTGGAAAAGTGAATGCTGCCTCCTTGTGCACAGAAGGTGTAGTATGCTGTGTCCACACTCCCTAACGCCACCTTGCGAGGGCATTAAAAAGTCTTTGTACCATCTTCGGATAACAAAGAATCAAAGTATTTCTACTTCAGTGGCATTACTTGTATGTACGTTTTATGGTGTGTATTTGAAGGTGTTTGTGAGTGTATTTATGTACGTAAGGATAAAAGTAGAAGTTGGTCGTCAAATAAATGAATCTCTTTATGTTTCTGATTCATTTTCATCCTCTTGTAGATATAGTAACACGTGTATAATAAGTATGATGTTTTAGTGAATAACAAGGCGCTTTGAATTTCTAAAATGACAATATTTGATACGTATAATTTTCAGTAGAATGATGGTTACAGTATGAACCTTGTATGATAATTACACATTAAGTTTTTGATTAAATGGGAATTCTCCAGAATAAATTCACAGTATAATGACATATTGTATGTAAATTTACATTCGAATTACTTATGAAAAACGAATTATCCCACACATTTTTTTCCGTTATTAAATCTGCACAAATAAACAAACACAGAGTGAACTTGAACTCGCTATCAAAAATAATAGAGTACAAACTATTATATACCAAAATAATCAATAGATAATTACATAAGATGGTAGAGTTGTTGATGTAGTAAGGTAAGATAATTATATTTGTGGCATTAAAGGCGGGTTCTATGTATTAATGTATGTGAATAAAAACACTAAATTCTTTGTTGTTTGTGATTATTTAACTACAGGATCGAGTTGGTTGGTTGGTTCAATTGCGTCATTTAACCATGAAGGTCAATACAACCATAAAGTGTGTGTGTGTGTGTGTGTGTGTGTGTGTGTGTGTGTGTGTGTGTGTGGTAGCAGACAGATGATTAATTAGAATACATTTTGTGATTTAGTTGACATCTGTAGACATTTGGCTTAAAACTGAGAGGAAATATGAACATTAACTAAGACAATTAACCCAAAGATATGAAGACGTTAGAAGTGAAGACGTTAGAAGGCAGTAAATATATTAAATAAATGTTACTGGAGTCCGTGTTATTTTAAGTTTGTGTCACCACTGTGCTCAGCTGGTGTCGTTCATAACTGGGTAAGAATATAGCTGAAGGAAACGGTAGACATTATCTATAGAGGAGATAAAGGAAACTAAATAATAGAGTTGTTTTGTGGTTTATTTGGTTATTGTTGTGACTGATCTTGAATTGTTTAAGTCACAGTTGGAGTGAAATAAAAGTCTTTAACAACTGGATGGGACACAGACTCGAGAAGTGACTCACATCACCCAGGGAACACTGTGAAGGTCATACAGATCATCAGATAAAAGTTAATAGATAGTTAACTCGTTAAATTATTTAGCTTATTAAATGTCTTGTTACATGAGTGGAAGGAAGTATTCTGTAAATTCAAGAAATATCAGAGAACACTATGTTTGGCCAGTGTCGACTATCACGTAGGAGCTTGAGTTGGAGCACCTCGGCGTGCTCATCCCAGATGGTCTTGTTTAAACAGATCCCTCGACGCCTCCACAGATGGCGCGGCACACGCAGACGGCGAAAAACTTCACTATCCCGCCTGATGAACACGTAGTCTTCGATCACATGACAGAACATGTCGAAGAGGTAGTACCCTTGTGCCTCCATGAAGGCGATAAATTCAGGGTCTTCGAACCGGGAGACCTCAGAGGACCCACCTGAGGAGGTCACTGACGTATTCTTGGGGGCAGTGACAGAGACGTTATTAGAGCTACCGATATGTTCAATGGCCCAGACGTCGACGGTGATCCTGTCGAAGGGGAAAGAATGTAGGATGCCCATCTCAACCCCCTCGACGTCCAGGCTGAAAAAGTGGACTCTGGTGACGTTGAGGGCGAGGAGGAAGGTGACCGCTGGGAAACACTGAGCTGTATGGTAGGTCTTGTACCCAGGACCCTCGCCTGCCATGGCCGGCTTCTAAGGAAGAGAAAAGTGTCTAAGTTTTCCTCTTTATCTTAAGGATTGTTGCAACGAGAAATAGAGGGACTGCTGTAGTTATCGATATAAAGTTGAAATAGGAGCATTCTTGGGGTCTTGCACTAACATTGATGATATCAAGTAATGAACCTCAGAGAATTAACAGTTCAAAATATCTATGGGATAAAGCTGAAACATGGATAAGAAGAAAGTGAAGAGGCGAATAAGCACAGAAGGAAAGAACAATTTACTCGCTAAACTGATTAAAAAGTTCTGGAACCGACAGAGAAAGGTCAAATATCTCTATCTAAAACTTTCCTCGTTGATAAAACGACACATGTAACTTACCTCCTCTATTCTCGCCGCCCCTCTGTCCTTCCAGTTAGAGGAACGCCCCTTCCTCCTGAAGGAGGTGATAACGGTGGTGTGCGGGTAGGGCTTGATGGCTAGGCAGGCTGGGGACGACCAAGCCCTTCTGTGCTTTTTCCTGAGGGTGGCGTAACTATCCGGCTCTGCCTCCACCAGTAACCCTGTCCACCCTCGGTGCCGCTCCAGCCAGAGGGTATTGGACAGATACTCCCCGTCTAGGGCACCGGCCTCCACGAAGAACCCCGCAGGCTGTTCCTTGCCAAAGAGATCCTTGAGGATGCTGTCAGTGAAGGCCCAAGATGGATATACAGTCTTGTATAATAGATAGATAAAATCCTTATTTTCTTCAGATTCCTTCAGATTATAGGGGAGGTAGGAAGGAGGATGGATGTACTGGCCTCTCAGGAGACGTATGGCCTCCGGGTCGTCAGCTGACATTGGTCCCTCAGCGCGCTTAACAACCTGAGAATTACACATAATAAAGTTGATGGTATAATGTGTTACTGCACCTCAACGCTGGCCATCAACAGTTAATAGTACAGCAATAAGAGATCCATTCCATGTGTCATTAGTTACAAACAAACAAAGGAATATTAATTAAGATACATCTAAACATGAGAAAAATTTTATAAAAAATTACCTCGTGTATTTACAGTCCTACATAAAGTATTACTGAAATGACATAACGTACATAAAAGTTTGTTATTAAATAGAAAACACGAACATTGTATGCGAAGGTCTTGTTCTCATATTTGATCTAGTCACCCCTGTATGGGCCCGTCACACTTACGTTTTCTCTTATTAGATATATTTTCTATCTTGCGTTATGCTGAAGGATGTA